TGTCTCTTGTCTCCTCTTTTTACTCTCTTCTTCTGGATTCCTTAAAATAATGTTAAATAATAAATTTAAGAATATATTAAAAATATTATTTTGCTCCATTACAAAATATTTTTAATGGATAGTGAATTCATAGTCTAAACACCAAATATCATAAAAAAACTAGAACAAAAACTCTCTCTCGTACCTCTGTTCCCCATTCGTATAGTTCCTATCCCTCCATCTCCACTAGTAATATCTGCACATATTGTTACTACACATAGGACAGGCCATACATAACAACAAACAAAATTATGCTAATAATATGTGTTAGCTTAGGATACTTATTACCTTTTTCCTCTCTCCCTGCCCACAAATAGGCAACAAAATAACACACAACCATGATTTTATCGACATAGGTAGTATTTCTGTATGTAAGGATTTTAATCAAGTGGGAAAGGAATCGGGAGACCTCATCTATCCCTTAATCAAATGGGAAAGGAATCGGGAGACCTCATCTATCCCTAATTATCTCCCAAAGATCCCACCTCCAAATACCATCACATTGGAAATTAGGGTTTCCACATATGTATCCAGGGGCACACAAACATTAGGTCTGTACAATGGCTGAGAGTTTCCCAGAAATGAATTCCTTACCAGTGGGAAAGGAATCGGGAGAAGGTTTGGAGGTAAAAGTCAATGAAACTTAGTCTGTGACTTTGAAGAAAATGAGACAGTATCTTGGCTGTGTGCACAGAACTCTATTGATGCATTTAATGTAGCATAAATAACTGTAACTAGAGAGCAAATCTTCAAGTCTTCACGTGGTGCATTGATGCAGCCCTAGCGACTCTCTGGTGAATTACTGTCAGTTGGGGTAAGCAGTCCCCTGTCCAGAGGCTCTGTGGGATACTTTCAGCTAATATGAGCCTGGAGACATCCATAGATAATGGTGCCTTTCAGCACCTGTCAGGCAGGTGACACGAGTTTCCCACCACACATCCCATTCCCTAGTGATGTCCAGAGGAAAACTGCTCTGTCTTCCACACCAACATTCAAAATACTAAACTCTGAGCCAGTTTACCACAAGACATACGTGCTCCGTGGAGAGAAAAATGGAAACTGCATGAAGGAAAACATACCATATCTGTAATAAATAAAGAGGTTCCTACATCCCTCAGTCCCTCTGGACTGGTTCTGCATATCTGTTCTTCTCCCTCCCTCCACCATTCATCCTTGCACAGGCAGACTGTGAGAGAAAATGAATCGATAACTTCCGATTTTCCTTTCTAATAAATCTGGAGGAGCAAGAGAACATTCACTGGGAGAAATAAACAAAACTAGAAAATGACGAACCGACACTTGACTCAGTAACTCTGTCTAAAATATTGCTCCAGACCCCATTTTCCTGGGTGGGGAGAATGGATGTCCAACTAGTTGGATTTATGCCCAGTGTTCTGCACCAAGACTCCAAATGATAACAGCAGAAACATTTCCTGGGTGCCTCTCACCGAAGCTTCTTATGAGCAACTAACTGTAAAGGTTTAATAGTAACTGTTAGCTGCCAATAACATTTTCCATTCCATTGCCCATTATTATTAATTAGGGCCCATTAATATGGGCCTATTATTTTTCCACTAGTTTGAAGCTTTTTATTTTTGTAAAAAAAAAAAAAGACCTACTGGGAAAAAATACTCTAATAGCTGCCAGTTGGTAGAATAGAGAAGAGATTAAACAAGGAAAATACGAGTTACAGTTTGTCAGAATTCAGGTCTCCACATGTGGACAGATGTGGAATATATGAGTAATTCAGGCAAAACCGTAATTGTCTATCTCTGTACTCGAGCTTCTGGCCAAGATAAATGTGAAAGCAAGAGCGTATGGGCTTGTGAAAGTGAATCAGAGGGTGGGGTTAAGAAAAAGGAGGTGCTAGAACCTTTTAAAAATTATTTCTACAGTTAGGAGTTACTTAACTCAGCCACAATCTCTTACAAAAGGAACCAATTGCCAGGTCTGTTCTAGAGGAAGAAAGCAAGGTATGGTAAATATTTCTTTGTTTAAAAATATTTGTTTATGTTTTCCTTATTATGTTTGTTGAAGTGCCTCGCTAAATAACAAAGAATCAAGACTCCCCAAAACAGAAATAATAGATAAAGCTCCATCCCCCAAGAATTTTGTGCAACTCAGACAGATGTAACCCTGAGCTGGTTCAAAGTGTGTCCTGGAAAGAGGGATACGGGGGAGAGTATTTATTTCCAAAGAACTTAGAGAAATTATTTTACTAGGAATTGTGAAACTATGAATGGAATTTCCTGCAGTCACATTCTGGATTTGCTACCCGTGTATCTGTCAGCAAAGGCAAAGAGAAATAGAATATTCTCAGAATAATTGATCCAAAACCCTTCTAACCCTTCAGAAGAGTGGCTGAGCAAGTGAATTTGATCTGAGTCATTAATGTCTGAAATTAATGTATGCTTTGACTCCACTCCATCCCCAACCAACATCCTATCCTAGCCCACCATTCCGTGGCCCATTGGTTTTCTTTTCTTCCAAAGAATGATCCAAGCTGTAACTTTTCATGAGGTGCTCATCATTAAACACCCTAAACAATTATTTACCTTGAAAAATGGCTTTAGGTGACATGGAAGCACTGTGAGGGCGGTGCCATCTGATGTGCCCAGGTCCACGGTCAGCATCATCAACGTCCAGAGGCCTTGGCTGTCCCCTAGGGCAAAGGGGATGAGGGTCCTCTTGCTCCTCCTTCTCATCCCCATCCCTGTGTTCTTCTTTCTCCTGCTTATCCTCTGCTATTGCAGATCCCTCCCTTTAACCATTAAAATCTTACAGACAGTGGGATACAATGACAAAAGCAATTGTATTCAGCGCCCAGAGAATGGGATGCTCTGATAACTCTAGTGCTCTGACAACTCTGCTGTCAGCTGGCTGTGCATGTTAGTCAGCACATCTAACCTCTCTGGGCCTTAGTTTCCCAGCAGATGGAATGAGGCGACTGCATTAGAGGGACTCCACGGTTCTGGGGCTGATATGCCAGTAGTATATGTATCTCTGATGAGACATTCTGATGAACGACCCTGCTTTCCTTACTTTCATAGCTCTCTAGCTTTGCCCCTAAACCCCATAACAGATTGCCACTTTATGTATCTTACATATATATTTCTATCATTTCAATATTTTAATATTAAATAGTATTTATATCTTTATACATGTAAACTGATATGTTCATAACTCCTGGAAACTGCAAAAGAACAATTCATTCTGAAATTGGCACAGGGAGCTTCTGATCTAGACATTTGTCTCTGGAAAGATCATGATCCAACTCTTGTAGGGAGGATTGTTTTCTCCAAAATCTCATCCCCAAATTCTGCATTCTTCAGAAAACACTTTTGACTGTTAGGTTAAATTTTACTAATGGCTAGTTCAGCACTTCTATACATTTCTTTTTTTTTTTTTAAGGCAAAAAAATGTTCTTGTATGTTCTGGGTACACCTGATAAGTTCATGATGATGCCAACAGAGGATTTAATGGATATCCAGAAGATAACTGGATATTAACCTTTCATAAGAAATTAGCCCCTTTACTAATAGAAAGAATTATTGATTTCAGGAATTTGCTACAAGTAACTAAATTCTAGAATAACCACAAACCTTTGGTAGAAAGACAAAAATCCCAGGCCCAAAGTATTCCTTTTTCCTCCCCTTCATGCTCAATATGGTTTGGCCATGGAGCCAAACATTTTCCACGTGAATGTCATTCATGAGTTCTAAAAAGACAAAGCTTAATATGTTGACAGTAAACAGACCACTATGTGAATGAAGATACCCATAAAGAAAATAGGGGAATTATTTCCAAGATGACACTGGAGCAATCAAGAAAAAATGCCCACTAACAAGTTTCAAACATTTCATGAGGGTGTAGAAATACTTCAAAACTAGACTTGCTGTTTTTCTTTAATGAAATAATGTTGGTCTAGGATTATTATCAGCTTCAGTAATGGTGGGAACTAAGCAGAGCGTGATTTAGAGGCTGAGATAGTGTTTGGTTATGTATAAACCAGTAGCTAGGAGGGATTTAATAGTCTCACTGTTAATCCAAGTCCTGATGAAACCAGAACTTTGTTTACACATGCCTCTCCCTTGATTCAACTGTTTGGCCACAGAGATCCCCTTATTTTTCTAGAGTTAGCATTCTGGATTTCTTAAAGGGCCAGGTGATGTCAGTACACATTCTTTACAACTTTGGCACTAATGGGAGTTTGTAGGCCTAGGAATCTGATTTATTTTTAGTCATTTAACTAGTTTGAGAAATTATTTGGCTAGAAAGTGACAACAAATTGAAGTGACTATTTCTTTGAGAGAGACCCAGTCTTAAGAGATTTAAATTGAAATACCAAGGAAATTAGAGGTGAAATCTAGAAGTTGAATATAATATTTAAAAACATGAGACAACCTGAGTCCTTTTGTTCAAGACCAGTTTCAGAGTGTCTTGGGGGAGGGAGAAAAAAATTTTCACGACTCTACCTCTCTGTAAGCAATTCTCACTAAATTGTGCATGGTTTCAAGTTTAAATAAATAAAAAATGGTGAACAAGTAACAAACAACTGTTTGTAAGTATCCACTTTGTGCAAAGACTGGAGCTAGATGTGGTTGGGTGTACAGAGTAGTGTAAGAAAAAGTTTGCTCTGAAGGAACTTAGCTTGGAGTTGGAAAGAGAGAAACGTATAAAAACACAACTAGCAGTGTGATAAACGTCAAGGAAGCATCAAAAACTGTTAGGGAACTTTGGTAGCAAACATGCTCCTGTGAATAACAAAAAGTCAACAAAAGCTTCCGGAAGAAAAAGAGGAACTTGAACAGAGGGGATTTCAATAAAATAAGGGAGGGGAAAGGCATTCCAGGAACCAGGAATATCACATAAGCTAACAAATCTTTTTGCAAAAGTAAAATCTATCAAAAGGATTATTAACATGTTCTCTATCTTTGTTTCATTTTTCTTAGGTTTTTTCAATGGATGCTCTAGTAATGTCAATCAATCAATTTGCCCTGGAGTTTAGCAAAAAGCTAGCTGAATCTGCAGAGGGTAAAAATATATTTTTTTCTCCCTGGGGCATCTCCACCTGCTTGGCCATGGTGTATCTGGGCACCAGAGGCAACACGGAGGCCCAAATAGCCCAGGTGAGTGGGAAGCTCAGTCATCTTCCATTGTCTTGAAACAAAATGCTTTCTTCACCTCTTATCTTCATTTGCTCCTGAAATCCAAATAGCCCACGTTTTACAACCATACTCTCCTAAAACAAAAGATCTGCTTTAAGACAATTTTCAGACCCTAAAAAGAAATCTGGGAAAGGGAATCAAACGGAAAACGGTTGCTAGGAAAACCATGTAAGAACCCGTGTTCTCCAGCAAAATCGAATGAAGAGATGATGAGGATGTCAAATTTGGTTCAACACCAAAAACGATTTTATTTTTATTGTTAAAATATTTCCAGAAACGATTTGTACTAAGTAATAGAATCAGTCATCATCTTTCTAGTCTCAGAAGGGTTTTCTTGAAAACACAAATAGAAAAATCAAGTGAATTTTGTTCTCATGCATTGTTTGGTTGTTTCCTTGTTCAATTTCTGGTTGTCTGGATGAATCTCAAGAGCCCATTAAGAGTATTAAAATAACAAAATATTGTATCAGCAATTTTCAATTTGTTGTGAGCATCCTCAAAGCAGTGCAGTGTGTGTGTGTGTGTGTGTGTGTGTGTGTGTGTGTGCGCATGCACGCATGTATAGCCACAGACAGCAAAATATAAGAAAGCCATATGGGTGTTTGTATGTGTGCATATGTGTAAACATATAAATATAGATGTGTGTGTCTTTTAAATAAAAATAAAAATAGAACAGAGCAAACCAAGCCCTAAATCTTTCATCAATTAAAAGGCCAAGTGACAGAATTTCCACCCACGAGGGTGCCCTTTATGCCAGTGGAAATGGGCACAGCTGGTGATTCTGAGTGAAATAGGCAGAGTATATATTCTGTCAATTTGGGCCCAGGATATCACCCTTATTCTTGCAGTCCATAGGATACTGTGTGGTTTAAAAACAATAAAACTCTGGTTCACAGCAAAATTCTGACTCAGAAATAGTTAATGACTGGTTAACAATTAAGAAGCATAACAACTGATGTGACAGACTTATCACATAGATTAAGAGGATGGATTCTAATTTGGGCCCATTTCATATCAATATATCACTGGGTATTGCTTGCCCTTGTTTTATTTTAAAGTTATTTAAGTATTAACAGCGTCAGTTTGCATTTGAGATTAACAAATTGCCTACATACTCCTTATTTTGAGCTGGGTCCAGGATGTGGGAGATGAATCATCTTGTTTTCTACTGTCGTACAATTCAGGAGCAATGAGGTCCTCATCCTTCTTCTTAACTTTCAAATGGAATGCTGGCTGAACGCTGAAGAATGTGTCTACATGTCGCGTGGTGGTAGATGGAACTGAAGCATTAAATAAGATGGAAACTTATCTAGAAAGAGCTGAGATGGGTGACTTTTCCAGATCACTGGGGCAATAGTGGCTTTTGCTTACATTGCTAAGTGATGGTCTCAGCTGAACACCTAGCCTTCTTTTCAAAACAACCATAGGTAGAAATGAAACATGGAAAACAAGGGAATTTTACTTCTAAGAGTTCTTTAATACTTGTTCTAGGACATTAAGGATGATGTTGTAAATGCCTTACTTTTAAAATTTATTTAAAAGCAGCTCTTGACTTCCTGTATCAGCTCAGCTAACACACCCCTGATGTCAAATCAGGGCCCCCTTGGTTCACTGATCCCATGTCCTGTAGCCGTAGGAATGCCTGACTTGCATTTCCTGATGTGCATTTCGTCTGATTAGTCTCTGCACTGGGCTCTCACATACCGTCTTTTTATTGAAATTACAGGTGCTTCAATTAAGCAGACAGCAGGACATCAAATCTTGTCCAGAAAGTGAAAAGAAAAGGAAAACGGTATGTTTTACATTTTAATATCCATTTGATGATTAAGGAGAAAGCTCTTTTAGCACACATATATTTCAGTGGCTAATTTAAGCAACCTTTAACAGGCAAATTTCCTTAGAACTATATATTAAAATTGTAGAAATTTTTTCAGGCTACAAAGTGGGCACACTTTCTGGAAGGGCCACATTCTTTCCTCTGATCTCTTCTCCTTTTCTTCCCTTTCAAAACGGCTCCACTTTCAAACTTGTTCTTGACTGCCTTTGCAAACTAAGTGTGAAGAAAAAAATACCCTCAATGACTTAAATTCTTGCACTGATAAGGGTAAAGAAAACATTTTTAACTACCACGGAATTGTTTTCAACTTTTGTTGGCAAAACACCAAATCATTTTTCATTTAGGTTGTTCACATATAAATAGCTCCTATTCAACATTTGTTATTTGACTAATAATCCCTTTTCTTTTAAAGGAATTCACCTCCCACAAGGTTGAAGAAATACACTCTGATTTCCAGACACTTATCTCAGAAATCAACAATCCCAGCCATGCTTACATACTTAGAACAGCCAATGGGATATATGCAGAGAAAATGTACCCATTTCTCAAGGTAAGTGCAAACAAGTTATTTGAGCTGAATGGAAAGAAACAGCCGTGGGAGATCAATAGACCCTTTGTACATTTCTCTAGGGAGCCCAGGGACAAGCAATGTGGTCAGCACTTCTGGTAAACAGCCATGTCAACCAATTGATACAGTCATTGAGCGTCTATTTGTAAAGGAAACCAGCAATGGGTCTGAGGCCTGATGTAGTGATCGTATCTTTGTGCCCATAATAGAGGGGCACGCCCCATGGCGTGGCCGCTGAACACACACAGAAATATGGTTTATATAGTTCCTGGGCAAACATTTGTTTCTTGGAAAATGGAGCAAAATGTGCAGAGTGACTCAGGAGGGTAAATCTGAAGGAGCAGAGGGTGGTGCTGGCCGCGGGCGTGCTGCTCTGGGTGCTCAGGAGCAAAGCCGACCTTGGGATCAGACAGGCCAGTTCACATTATGACTTGAGAGGCTGAAGGAAAGACTCCTGACATGGAACATCAAAGGCCCCTCTTCTCAGACGGACGGCGGAAACCCAGCAGTGCAGACCACTTCGTCCTCCGTGCGGACTCCAGGGCTGCTCCGGGTGTCAGCCTGAGCCGGGGCAAGCATTTACTCCTCTCATGTCCGTTTAGCGTGTCCTTTGACACATCTCAGGAGAGAGCAGGAGGCCGCAGGTCCCCAGTGGGCAACGAGCAGGGCAGCTGGACAGGGCAGAGGGATAGCAATGGGGATGAGAAGGCTTCACCTGCGCCCCAAGCAGTGTTATCCTGGTTCGCACCCAGTGAATTCTGGGAGCTCAGGGCCTGGACTTTGTTATGACTAAAGACCTAAAAGCAGCCAAATTTGGTCTTAAAGCGATTTTTATTACTGGCAATGTCGTGGACTCGGGTTTTATTCAAGGGTAGGAGAGATAATTGAGCTGGGTGGGCACTTGGGAATGAGGATGCAGACACAGAATGATGCGCCTTTAAGATGCCCATGAGTCCTGGATGTGCTCAGAGAGGGTGATCCGAACACCCATGAGTCAAGACAGGGCACGGTGCCTTGTGAATTGTTAACTTTTCTTTTTACTAGATTATAAACTAAAGAATTTAGACCTCATAATCTTCAGGCCACTGCCTGGTTGCAGAATTAACTCACAGCTTTTTACTTTACACAATTCCTCCCTACAGTAAGCAAACTGAAGCCACACCAGAGCTGTCCCCTGTCCCCAAGGCGGGTGGTCTCACAAGTGGTGACCTGGGTTACAGCCGACTTCTGATGACTGCCCCTGGGGTGAACACTGCAGGCCTGCAGCGACGCCGCCCAGCTTTTTGTCTCAGAATTTCCTCAGAGGAAGCCTTGACCATGCTTAGAAAGGCATCTTTCCAGCAGCAGATAGTTTTCCTCAGGGTTTCCTTTCCTCAGGTTCTCGGGCATTTAGAATCCACACCAGGCAGCTGCCAGACCCCAGGCCTCACTATAGTTCCATCTCTGCCACAGAAAGCCAAGTTCAACTCCCAACATCTCTTGGCCACAGGAGTCACTCCTGAGATTCGGGGGTCGCTCTCCCTGTTCATTCCAGCCCCATGTCCCAGGCAGGCATAACAATAAAAGCTGCTGTGGGAGGCAGGCCTTCCTTCTGCGTGAGGAGTTCTGCACGGCCCACCAGTGCCCAGCTGACTTTAAAGAAGGGGGTGGCTAGTTTTTGACCATGTCTGCAGTGGGCAGAGAAAGAAGGGAGCACTGGGGTGGGAGTTTGCAATTGCTCATCTACCTAGTTTTTAAAATGATCTAAAATAGACTTGATTTCTCAGTTTTGCACAAACTCTACCAAAGGAGATTTTACCCATATATTCCAGAAATATTTAGAAGACATGAAGACATACTTTGGTGCAAAGCCACAGTCTGTCAACTTTGTAGGAGCTTCAGATCAAATCAGAAAGGAGATCAACTCTTGGGTTGAAAGCCAGACGGAGGGTAAGCTTTTATCACGTGCTCGCCAGGGTGTTTTCTCCAAGCATCATTTCCTGGTTTGGAATTTGTGTTTTATGTAAGTGTATGTATTTTGCAAATAGAACTGATAGAACTGTGGACACATTGTTAATATTCAGCACATTTCTTTCTCATTATGCCCATAACTTTTAGATTCACTGCTTTCTAATAAGTCTTATCTAGAACATTTAAGCCAAGCCACTCACTTTACTAAGCAGACAAGAAAATGATCATGTCCGCTAAATCCAAAGAGGATTCCAAGGGTAAAAAAGCAGGGAACTGCAAAAAGAAAATTTGGAAGAGTGCTGCATTTGTTGTTTTCAAAGGAAAACAGCTACTAATTAATAACAAAAATGTAGCATTAAATTTGCTATATAATCTTAAGTAATTTTCAAAATAAGGTCATGTATTAGAGGAAAGGTTAAGCTGCTATAACAAAAAGACCCAAAATACAGTGACTTAATAATAAGATAGGAATTTACATTTCTCTTACGAAGGAGTCCAAAGGTGGACACGCATTTCTGTTCCATGAGACCTCAGAGAGATGCAGGCTGGTGGGTCAGCTCCACCATCCTCAAGACGCGGCTGTCAGCTCTAAGTCTAAAGTGATTCTGGCAATCGCCAATTTTAAAGTCAATGGGGAGAAGCCCTCTTTGCTTTTAAGAGGATGCCCTGAAAGTTTCAGACATTAATTCCACTCATATCCCAAACTTAGTTACATGGCACATTCTCTGCTTGGGTGACAATTTGTCCTACTTTGCCTGTTGCCTGGGCGTTTCTGGTTTTAGCACATAAAGTTCTCTCACTCCTAGGCAACCTGAGATGGTTGATCACCCAGACTTGGTGTAATAAAGGTCTGTAAAATGTAATTTTTAGCTGGGTGGCCATATAATGTAAAATTTGAAGGTTCTACTTCTAAAAGGATAGAGTACAAGGATTCTCATGGGCAATTCAGCAGCCTTTTTATTATAATCTTTATTCTAGCAATTAGGAAGCTGAAGCTCAAGAAAAACTCATGTTTAAATCCTCATAAATAGGATTCAAATTTAAGTCAGTTTAGCTCCGAAGTCTGAACTCAGTTCAACACACCATGTTGCATTTTAAGTTGATATGTTTACTGCTGGTCCATTATATCTCACAAAGAAATATAAAAGGTATAGCCATCAATGAATATTAGTAATTAAGATGTTGCTTTTCATCAATAATATGGAATGTTTAGGTGACACCCCAGAACTTCAGACTTGACTATATGTACCTGCCAGACATACTTGCTGAGGGTCCCACATATTTAAACTCAACATACCTAAAGCCATATTCAAAATGGTTTTCCCACACATTGCCTTCCTCGAACACTCATTCTCCTCTCGGCGAATGGGTGGGGCATGTCGCTATCACTTGCCCATACCAGGAATGTGCCAGGTGCTCTCAATTCTCCCCTTTCCTTTGCCTCTTCATTTATGTTTCTGACTCATCTTTCTTTTGAAGTCTCTTCTCCCTCTGCTTTTAGCCTTTGACATTATAAATCTGTATTAATACAAAAACCTGCCTCTAAGCTTCCTCCCCTTAAATCCAACCTTCATTCATTTAGGCACAAATGGTGTCCCTAAAGTACAAGGTAGACCAGATGTACCGTGTCACTTCTGTACTCAGAACCCATATGGTGTCCATGACCTGCAGGATGAACCCCCCAAACGGACCTAGGAGGCCCAGCTTGACCGTGGAGTTTGCCTGTCTCTCTACTTGAACTCTTTGTCATTTTCTGACTCAAAAGACTTCAGGATTTGTAAGTGACACAGAGTCCTCTGAACCCCCTGTATCACCTCACCACCCCATGTAGTTATTCATGCCACTCCCTCTATGTGAAACACCTTTCCCTGCCTGCCATTCCCAGCCCCTCCATGGCCAGTGGAGAACTTTCAGGGCTTCACTCAGGTATAATGTTCCCCAGGAAGCTGTCGGCTCCCAGCATGGGCTAAGAGACGTCCCGTTGCTCACTGTGGGAACCTTTACCTGGACACTTAGCACACTGTTACTCGAGTTAACTGCTGAGGCCTCCCCTGCTGGACTCCAGGACTCCAAGTGCCGTGACGCTGCTTTAATCAGGTTCACCTTTGAATCACCTGCCCCGACAGGCCTGCTCATAGTAGTTGTTGAGAGCATTAACGTTTACTGAAATGAATTGAGGAAGTTGGCAGCCCTAAATTCTCAGTTCCTTTTTCACTGAATGACAGACTCAAAAGCTAGGGCGAGGCCAAGAGCAACCAGAATTTTCAGTTTTTTATGTTGTTCTGAAGTTTCAGTATTATTTCTAGGCAGATGTCTTTTAAAAACTTTTCAGAAATTCTTCCTGGCAGTCTTTAAATCTAAACTTAAAACTCTTTCACTGAAGGAAATTACATATATTATTTATTTAATAATTTATTCTCTTCACTTTCTCCAACACAACTCACAACAGTAGTATTCTCACAAAATGCATCGCCCAATTATTACTTTGAGAAAACCTCAGACAAATCTGAAGTGAGAATTGAGGGCCGTGCTACAAACTTCTTCAAAAGTGTCAAAGGCAGAAAGACAATGAATGAAGAACTGCCCCAGATTCAAGGGGACAAAGATGAAATGACAGTTCAATGCAATTTGAGATCTTGGATTTACATCTGGCCCAGAAAAATATCTTTATTGGAATAGTAGATGAAATGTAAATAGGATCTATTAACAGTATTCTATCAATGTTAACTTCCTGGTTTAGATCATTGGCACATAAAAGAGTCATCATTTAACAATATTTCATAACCATCGTTTTTGAAAGTGTGTCCTATCCCCAGGATGTAACAATATCATTTGAAATCTGTCCTTTTGCTCTTGTAGGAAAAATCCTGAATCTCCTACCTGATGATGCTGTGGATTCTGTTACCAGGATGATTCTGGTGAACGCCCTTTACTTTAAAGGAATCTGGGAACATCAGTTCTTAGTTCAAAACACCACATTAAAGCCTTTCCAAATAAATAAGGTAGGAACCTTTTAAGAATCAGCATACGG